TCTGTATCCTTAGTTTCGAATCGTAAGATCCGATCTTATGTCAANGTTTATTCTTTATTACAAGTCATGCATTTTTATGTATTCTAAGTAATTAAATGTAAAATAAATTTGATCACAGGTGTTGATGTCTGTTTAATAATAGTAATAATAATAATAATTCCCCCGTGGTCATCACCTGGTTGTGGTGGGAGAGCCCAGTAATTTTACTGATCCATAGGGCAATGCAGGATGGAGCACAAGCTCCTGGTAGGAACACCCATGCCAGTAAGTTCTATGGGGAGAAATGAAGCTAAAAGTGATCACACCCACATACTATGGAGATATTTATAATGGTAGTAACCAGTTCTAAGTATGATACCAGCTCAAACGTCGCCCGGGTTAACAAGGTTCGCGTTCGAAAAACCACAGTCTCCCTTGGTTACCAGAGGAGGAAGCAGCACCGGGCAAGGCCCTCAACAGATGTGAGGAATCAACCTAGCCTTGGTGTTTCTGTGACAATGCATCCACAGACCACAAAGGCTGGAAAACCACGCCAACAGATGAAATGGACAACAGAAATGAATGAGTTTATCATCCGTACTTACTACGCAATCACAAAACTTAAAACAAACATGACAGCATACAGACAACAACTACACCATAGATTCACACAACAATATTCTCACTTCACTGTCACCGAAGAAAGGGTTGTTGATTAGAACGGAACAATTATACACAACAACCTTATCCCACAAACAACACTTGAACTTATCAAACAACAGGTTGCTAATCAAATACATCAACAGGCAGAAACATTCAACATTATTAATGAAGATCACGTAACCTGTCAGGATAGTCCGGCAACAAGCATTGATAATAGCACACATACAACAACTATAACTAATGATATTACAGGCATTTCCTCACCTATCACTGATAACATCGACATAGAATTAGTTAATACACTCTCACTTATATTTCAGGAAACACTCACTAAATATACATGCACAGATCCCACACAAAGACCACGAATACCGAAAATCAACACATCAAAGATAGTAGGGAAAACACTAAATTATGTAAACACTCACTTACTATCACACTATATCCATTCAATTTCTACACTCTCAAACATTCATACATTAGTTTATGCTGGAGCAGTCACAGTAGTGACACACCATAAACTGAAAATACACTCACAGACAGACACACACAAAACACAATTTTATCACAAGCCTGCCTGGCAGAGAAGAATAGAAACACAAATAAATGTCATTACGCAGCAATTAGGCAGGCTGACACAATACACTAAAAACAACATAACATCCAAATTAAAGAAACAACTCAAAAACATTTTCAAGAAAAATCAAAACACACACAAAACACAAACATCACAACACACACATTACAGAATACATCGATACACTAAATCAGAAACTTGCTGCCAAAGCACGTAGACTCAAACGATACAAAACATGTACACTACGAAAACAACAAAATAAATTATTCACAAACAATGAAAAACTTTTTTACAGACAAATCAGTAACATAACAAACACTGATACACAGCACAGTGGCACACCAACAGAAGAAGAACTCACAACTTATTGGTCTTCTCTTTGATCCAATGCTGTTACACACAACGCTGATGCAGATTGGATCGAGGAGGAGAACAGAAACTTGCATAACATACCAACTATGCCCTGTGCTGAAATAAACATACACAACATTCGCTACGCTGTTAACAGAACACGCAACTGGAAGACACCTGGTGTAGACAACATTCACAATTTCTGGTATAAAAAGTTTACATCACTGCACCAGGAACTAGCTAAACATCTAACACACATTATCATTAATTCACAAGACATGCAAAAATTTCTTACTCGGAGCATCACCTACATGAAACCTAAAAACAACAAAACCACAGACCCTACACAATACAGACCAATTACATGTCTTCCAACACTCTACAAATTATTGACATCCTGTATCACAAACGAAATATACAAACATGTTAAAGAACACGACATTCTTACAGAACAACAAAAAGGCTGCCGTAGAAATCACAGGGGATGCAAAGAACAGTTACTCATAGATTCTGTCATTCTACGGCAAGCACACAAACAACACAGAAACATACACATGGCATATATAGACTACAGAAAAGCATTCGACAGTGTTCTACACAGTTGGCTGCTGCATATTCTACACATGTACAAAATACATCCATCACTCATTGCATTCTTCGAAAACACTATGCAGCACTGGAAAACAACACTACATCTCAGGGTTAGTAACACTTCCATACAAACAAAAAAAAAAAATATTCATTAGGCGAGGAATTTTTCAAAGAGATTACTTGAGTCCTCTCTGGTTCTGCCTAGCCCTGAACCTATTATTCGACATGTTAAGCAACACGCAATATGGCTACAATATCAGGCGTGAAAAAACAACACAGTTTACACTGTCACATCTCATGTACATGGATGACATAAAACTTTATGCATCCACACAGAAACAACTTTATCAACTCCTACAAATCACATATTCAACTGCAGAAATTCTTCTAGCGCTAATGGTCTTAGATTCTTGAAAACATTTGGATATTTCTTCCTGGTCGAGTAATAATTTTTCAACAATTTTAATGCCCTGTCTCTGTCGAATTTTCTTGCTCGTAGAAAACTCAGAAGAAATATGTCGTCAGTTCTGCAGTTTAGGTCTTCATCTTTTGTTCAGGTAAAATAATAATTAATAATATTAAGACAGGAAATTAAGTTTAATATACAATATACATACATAAATTTATAAAAATATACTGTGAGAATCTGGAGTTGAGAAATCTTGTTTTCCACTCTTATTCGGATTTAGATCGGGAAGATCTGCCCGCAGGTTCTCCAGGATGGGTTTTTAGTATTGTAAAATTTGGGTACATGAAGTTCGTATGATCTTCCTGTGGATTTTTCCTGACACTAACCTTATTCGAGCGTTAGATAAGATAATGAATAAATTTATATACTGTTCTGTGAGGGAGAGATCGTAGATCCGTGATTAGACTTTGGCAAAGAGTTGAGTTTAATAACGAGACCATTTAAAGAAACAAAACAAATTTAATGAGGATAAAATAAAAAATAACTATAGGTACACAAAGAGATTCTAAATTCCTATCTGATCGCGTAAAAGAGAGAATTTACAACAAATATAAAGAAACTACCTCGACTCTAAATCTTTATTGATGTCTTCTTATTCGGGAAAGGCGGCGAAGTTCTGAAGAAAGCAGTATTTCTTCGTTTTCGAAAAGATGAAAAAAATATCTTAGAATCCCGTCCTAAGGAAAGGTCTCCGATCCCGATTAGGACCGTATTCGAGATCGATGTATTAAACTCAACATTATATTAATTAATTAAGTGTATGATTTTTTTCCGATTCTCACAATATTATCTTGGAAATGCGTTTTAAAAACATCGAGAGATATGATTATTCAGAAGTGTAACGAAATTCCGAACCAATATTTCACAAATACAGTTAGCAAAAGGTTGCTTATAGACAAACATCATTCTCATTTATATATAGACAAATAAAATTATATACTTACTAAGTAGCTACGTCTAAATTCCTGTAATATTTTTTCATCCCAACTGTAATAAAAGCCTTGGTGGAGTTTACCTTCAACACCCGCACTCATGATGTTCATACAATTTTATTATGCTAACACGTGCTAATTCATATCTTCTGCAAATGAATTTAAAATCTGATCTTGCACAAAATCCATAAAACTAAAAAACATCAACTGCATTAAAGTAACTAAAAACAACTTCTCAGATAATACAAAGAAAACCTTTTTAGTTAGGTTCAGGGCATCATACAATCGAACGAGCAGTAATTAAAAGATAAATATTATTTGCGTCATCCCTCGTCATAATTAGAAATAGAAAGTGATTGGTCGAAAAGGTTTTAAACCTTGAACTAGTTTCACTAGTTTTGTAGGAAAATGATATTTTTATTTGCGTAAGTTTTTATCTTTTGCCTTGACAAATCGTCAAGTAGGCTAATTCTGGCTTCGTAAAAATATCGGACTTTGCTCAGCTGTACATATTTTAAAAAAATGTTTTCTGGTGGAACAGTTTTTGCAAACATACAAATGGCAATCGGTCTACAGATTTACATTGCGAAATTTCACCTTGTATATTCCATTATCAGATAATAACTTGTGTTTATGATATGATATAGACGATAAGTAGGTTATTTTGACTATAAATAGTATTTTTCTTCTATTCAACGATATCCGTAATGTCCTCCTCGGAACTATTAGTCCATTTATGGTGTTTTATCTGGTCTACCAGATTATGAATAATCATTTACTATTGTACAAAGATGGAAAAGTAATATTAAATACTGTTTAAAATTACACTAATTTTGAAAATGTAGTCAAGATTTCATATCAGAGTCGGAAATCAAATCAAACGCCTATTGATAGAGTGATTAATGTTGCATTCATTATTATAAGTTTGGTAAATATGCAGCTGTAAATGTAACACAAATCACACTTAGTGACTTACAAAGTGCTTTATTTACGCTTCGCTTAATTACTAAATTTCATTTCGAATATCTCAGCATATTAGTCAAATTTTAAACTTCCGCCTTTGTCAACTCATCGGCCATGCCTAGTTATGCATATTTACATAACTAATAATCGTGTTTAATAATCGTGCAGTTTCCTTGAATTTCGATTATAGATAAAACACTATCTGATCTATGAACAGCTCTGCTTACTTATTACTATTCCGGCTGTTATTCGTAAGCTTATATCATTTATGATAAGATTATTACAGTTAAATATGTTACTTAATCGGTTATTAAAACTTTACTTGTTAAAAAAACAAGCAAGGAGTTGAGTAACTTTCACAAAAACAATATTTAAAACTGCGGATGATGCCGTCTGTTATAATTTTTTCATATAATTAATTATTGTAATATCGAAAAAAAAATTTATGATACATTCAATTATAACAACAAAAAGAAAGAAGTACAACATAATTCGAATGTAAATTTATATACAGAATTCAATATATAATAACAAACAACATATTTTTACTTCAACGTTCAGTTATTTTTGTCTTCAGTCCAATATTTTTCGTTTTCTACAAAGAATTCTTCCAAGTCTCTCAACCGCTGTTTAGTTTCGGTCGAATCAAAAGGTGGCAATTCACCACCAAATTCTGCAGGAAGATATTTCGGATCGATTTCTTTGTGGAGATCCTTCATGTTAGATCCATGAAAATGAATCTGTAATAAATTTACAACAAAAAATTCTGTAATATATACAATTACTATGAAATTAATCAGATAATAAAAAAATATAATCTGAGTACAAGCACGAAAAATTACAGTAAAGTATAAAAATACTAATCGACGATTTTATATTAGGTTTGGTTTGGTTTTATTCATATATGGCAATAAGAGAAATGGGCAAACCGCCGAAGGAGGATGCCTCCAAAGAGTATTTTATTGAAAACTGGCTACCTAGTTATATGCTGCTAAAACTCATCATGTCCTCCCATCTACTCTTGATGAACCGTTTATAGTTTTGGCGTTACCATTAACATTTACGAATTCATTTTCTGGTGGCATGGCAGAAAAAGAAATTGAATAACTTTCTTTTACGTGTATAAACAGGGACATATTGCAGCCGAATCAACTCAAAATACGAATACAACTTTCGGTGAACGTTCGGTAAGTAAGCAGGCCACAAGGCATTCGTATAAAACATTTTATTCCGGAAATACTATTCTCAAAAATCAGAATTGAAGAACATCATCTGATAGTCCGAGAAATCGCAGAAAGGTGGAACATACCGGATATTATTCAATCACTTCTCCACAACTAAAAGAAAAGTCAAGAAGCACGACAAATGGGTACCACTCGAATTCGATGAGAAAGATAAAGAACATAATTTTAAGATTCTTTAATTATTGCTCACAAAAAATTAATGTATTCAAATGAAATTCTTTCTCATCTACCTCATTCTCCAGACTTTTTGCCAACGCGTTATTGTCTTATTTTTATAGGGGAGATCGGGGCAACTTCGGCAGGCGGGGCAAGTTTGTCAAGCGCTTTTTTTAAAAAACAAATTAAAAGGAGACTTTGCTTATAGGTTAGGCAGTTGAGTTTTATTGGTGGCTTGTTGAGTGTAGTGTTTTTATTGTTCTCCAACAAGCGTAGTTGAATTATCAAGCAAATTTTCATTTTCGTTCAATTCCATATAATATTTTTTTTCCATTTATATTGAATTGGCAGGTTTTGTTATAATTCCATGATAACGAAAGTTACTTTTCCTGTTAGAAGGATGTAACTTCAACTTATTCACGTGGCCAGATCGTGGCTTGGCATTCTGTTCTCAGGGTTGTACTTAATGTTTCGAAATCATGACTAGCGGGGTAAGATCGGCAACATAAAGCCACATTAGAAGCAAAGGATAAAAATCAAACAGATGATAAATGAAAACATGTTTGCATTTGTTATTCATGTATATATGTCTTTGAACTTGCATTTCGTTGTAATAATATTAAATGGGTGTTGGATTTGTATTTCTTTGTTTTAATAGTGAATTCCAACTTATACATTGTTAATAACATAATTTTATATACGTGCCTATCTTGCCCCATTACTGTTGCCCCTATACCAGGGGCAACTTTAATAAAAATAATTAAAATAATTACAACTTTACAAGAAGAGAGAAATTGACGAAGTTGCCCCGGGTATAGGGGCAAGATCGGCAACTTCTCTCTTTTTGTAAAGTTGTAATTATTTTAATTATTTTTATTAAAGTTGCCCCTGGTATAGGGGCAACAGTAATGGGGCAAGATAGGCACGTATATAAAATTATGTTATTAACAATGTATAAGTTGGAATTCACTATTAAAACAAAGAAATACAAATCCAACACCCATTTAATATTATTACAACGAAATGCAAGTTCAAAGACATATATACATGAATAACAAATGCAAACATGTTTTCATTTATCATCTGTTTGATTTTTATCCTTTGCTTCTAATGTGGCTTTATGTTGCCGATCTTACCCCGCTAGTCATGATTTCGAAACATTAAGTACAACCCTGAGAACAGAATGCCAAGCCACGATCTGGCCACGTGAATAAGTTGAAGTTACATCCTTCTAACAGGAAAAGTAACTTTCGTTATCATGGAATTATAACAAAACCTGCCAATTCAATATAAATGGAAAAAAAATATTATATGGAATTGAACGAAAATGAAAATTTGCTTGATAATTCAACTACGCTTGTTGGAGAACAATAAAAACACTACACTCAACAAGCCACCAATGAAACTCAACTGCCTAACCTATAATCAAAGTTTTTTTTAAATTTGTTTTTTAAAAAAAGCGCTTGACAAACTTGCCCCGCATGCCGAAGTTGCCCCGATCTCCCCTAATTAAATTTTATTTAAATTTTTAATTAAATTGATTAACATTTGAAGTCAAAAGTATAAATTCGCAATTTCATTTGCAACAATCTAATATATGCAATAACAAACGTATTACTATTGTCACTTGTGTCATATTGTAAGTCCCTAAAACTTCTTTCCAAGTAAAATTCTGTTTGGTTGGATCTATTGTATTACAATTTTCTCATAAGTACATGTGTATATGTTCTTCATACAATTATATCATTATTTCAAGCGAAACCAGATTGGAGCTAATTCACTGATAAACAGATTTTATAAAAATTCGAACTTCTTCATGTCTTAAATTTCAAATGATAATTGACTTTAAATTTTGAAAAATCGTGAAATTAATTACAACACAAGGTCAGCGATTTATATAATCGCGTTAAACAATTATATAATATAAATTGATTTAGTTGGTTGATAAGACAAAGCTACACGAAAATAGCTGCCAAGGGCGATTTCCCGAATAAAGTGACTCCTATTAATTAAACTATTATACATGTGAAGAAAAACCACGTGAGCTGTCCTACGGCCATCGCAAACTCAAACATATTTTAGGTGTTTTTTCACTCGCCTCATTTATGGGCTTAATGTTAAAGTCTGACATAAGAAATACATTTCTAAACAATATGTTTAATTTGTAGCAACATAATTATTTTTGCAAAAATTCGTATTTAAAAATCCATGTTTTGTGATATCCACCTATAAATATATGTAGAATTGGCAATAAAAGATATTTTTTCTGCTCATATTTAACTTTGCACATTCAAGTTTATGTCTCAGATAAAGTACTTTCTGTTATTGAACTTCTTAATTAATTTTCTTCTGCTTTATTTTTTAATAAAATAAAGCTACACTTATCATTCGATATAAGAACATAAGACTTACATAAGAATTTAGTACTGTACTGTACATTATGTGATATTCGCGATATTATTTATATGAATACGTTTATTAATAATTTTCTCAGGAAGTTAAAAACTTTTAAATATAAAATTTTTCTTTCAGAATTACTTACCCTTTGTTTTATTTTATAAGGAAGAAATGGATACGCCATGGCAATAATGGCATGAATGCACTTGTTAACATTAACGATGTGAACCCCTTTATGAAGAATCGGAGCACATTGCTGTAAAATTAGAGTATTTAGTCATTATTAGCTTTAAAATTAATTTATTATTATGATTTATTAACATATTTCTCACAAAAAAGCATGATAGAATCAAGTAAAGTACTCTTGGTGTAAACTGGATAGCATGTCTCCATGATACTGTTTTGGCATCTATTAATGCATAAACACCATTTACTTGCATCGGATGGTCATTTACTTCCATGTCCATAAGAAGTATTATACACTTAACTATATCTATTGGTTTTACTTTAGTTGGATCCCAATGATCTACGAATAAGTAAGTTTGTTGTTGAACACGGTTTAGTATCAAAATTAATATAAAAGTAAAACAATAAAACTTACTTGCTCTTCCAAGTCCCAATACTTGACCTGTTTCTAATCGTTTGGAACACATTATATCCATTTGTAAATATGTTTCCAATGCTGAAGGCCGAAGGTCTTTGAATACATCTGTATACTTCTTCCTTATTGCATAATAATTTTTAAGTAATTTCAAAGCTCTTTCTCTGTCACATTTTCTTGCTCTTAAAAAACTCAAGAGAAATATGTCGTCAGTTCTGCATTTTAGTCCTTCCTCTTCTTTTAAAATAAAATAATATATTGTTATAACATTATCCTTAATGATAAAATGTATGTAAACCATGCAGTTTTTGTGTAACTTGCAATTCATACATTTTGTAATTTATCTTGTTTCATAAAGTTATACTGACATTAGACATGTTCAAGAACAACTTTCATAAAGGCGACAATATAATATTTCATGCATGTACACTATATGTCGACGACCTGAAGTATTTCAGCTGAGAATTCTAGATTAGATCTATATCTAGTGTAAAGACGGTTATTGGAATACTAGAAGTAAAATATGGATACGTGAAATCAGTAGGCATATAGAAAAAATATAGAGTAATTGAAAGGAATCTTATTTACTAAACTCTTAATTGAAATCTGAAATGTGTGCAAACCAAATTTAACAAAGTTTCGCCCAGTGGTTCTCTCTGCAGTAAGCACCTAATAGGTGACATTAATATTTGTTTCCCTGTATTATAGTTTAACAGTACTTTTTCCTAAGAGCAATACCAATGACTATTTTATATACATTATTTATTATTTAACTCATACAGAAAATGATATAACAGGAATAAATTCTAAAGCCTCTTCTTTTTTTATTGAGAGAATCATAAGCGTAGCTCTTCACAAGTCAGAAAATGTTTTGTTTGATCGGAGTTTAAAGCAACCGAACGACCATTAAACATGATTTTCTGCAAATATATACTATAAAAGACGACAATTGGCTAAGATATTCCAGGTCAAAGTCCGCCATCTAAAGTCTATGGGCCGATTGATAGATGTAAGTTTAAAGCACGACGAATTATTCTCATAATGCTGTGGCAAATTACATCAATTCTAATGGAGAATCTAAAACAACAATCTGAATGTCTTCCACCACTAAATTCCCCTCACAAATAGTCATATTTAAAAAAAAATATCACTTCTATTATGAGTCTGTGCTAAATTTCACTTTATCTAGCCATGTATGTGTCGAAATCAACAGTATACAGACTTTTCAAACCATCTATACAACAAAAAAATGAAACAAATTTTCAAATTCTGAATACGAGCCACAAATAGAAGCCTGCGGTGTTGACTAAATATCACATGACGTAAATTGGTAAATGGCAACAAGCTATACAGAGAGATGAGTAAAAATTCTATAGGCATGGGCCAGATGTTTTGGTGTAATGTGCAATTGAAGGGGTATTACGACAAATTTACTGTTTATCTCTGGTCGTATTGTAAAGAATATCAGTAAGTACAGTGGTATTTCAGGATACGAACGCCCCAGCATACGTAATTTTCAGGATACGATCTCAGTTTTGGAACAAATTAATTTCGTATCCTGAGGTACCACTGTACTAAATATGTGCAAATATGTGCTTAATTCCATTTGCACAATAAATTAAGAGGAAACTTTTCCAATTTCTACAAGATACTTTACGCACTCATAATAAAAATGGAAGTTGTTTCTGCCAAATAGTGTCTGCCGTGGACTGATCTCTGTGTTATCTTAATGTTAATCTTGTAGAAAACATATTCTTTATCTTAGCAAAAAACGTATATCGGAATGGAAAACAATATACATTAGTGGATTCATTAAAAAAAACCGATGCTTGGCACAAAGTCACAGATCAGAAGAAAAATTTTATTAAAAGAATGCCATATAGAGTTTATGAAATAATTCACAAAAATGGTGAATATGTTCCTTATTAATAACAAATAAAATCATTTCTTATTGTTTATGTTGAACTGACTCTCACTTTGGGACTAGTATACCCTACACAACTATAGCCTATTTGTGACAGGACTCTAAAAATTCGGTTCTTAGATATTACAGTTATTACAGGTTCTTTGTCGGAAACTGTAATATCTGGAATATTTGTGCGTAAGCTGTCTTAATTTTTAACCATACCCAGTAGCTTCAATAAATGCATTATGCCAGGTTGTTCAAATTGGACAAGGATACAAACAAGTACGAAGTACGCAAGTATGTTTACTTCATAAACGTGATTATTAAAGCCAAACGAGGCTGTAAGCTTGATTCCTCTATTAACCCTGAGTCAGGCGCCACGAGGCGCTATTGCGATGTGGGGCACGCAGGGAGTTATAGTTATCCAGTTTCAAAAATCAATTTTGTGAATATCATAGTTTTATTCGTGGCTTTTTGATTTCAGGTGTTTGTGGGAATGGGTTTTTCAAGTCGAAATCAACAAAACTACTCAAAATATGTCGTTGTTATTTATCTATAACGGAAACAAAAATGTCTTACGTTTTAGGAATTTTTCAAGAAAAATTGTCAACTTTAGAAGCGGTTTTTACAAACTGTAAATAAGTCTGTTGCTATCTAAGCTCTGATTCGCTTTCTTGTATGTGTTTTTTAAATGTCCCAAATATTAAATGCTTTGTCACAAACCTGGGGCCAGAAATATTTCCGTATATTCAAAAATACATCCCCTAAAAATATTCTACAGCAACTAGAGGAAAAAAAGGAAGATTATTGGTAGGTAACATAGATAGTAAACTTTCTTTTACACAGTAATTGGTTAATTTCTTTGTCTGTTATTAGATCCACCTGTAAAAACTATTGCCGGAAAAGTTCCCTCGAAATGTCACGCCTCCTTAGATTACCACTTGGAATTATGTAAACAATCGCTATGAAATCGCTTGTTTTAATCGTTTTGTCACTTTTAATTTGCTAATGAAAAGTTGTTTGACAGTATTTAGACGAATAAACATGTTTTCAAAACAGTTTCGCAATAAAGATTCCCAGAAAACTCCATCATTCAAAGTTTCAATGGTAAGTCTATGGGAGACCTATTTGCCGTTAATTAGCTTTGAAAATTCTGTTTATATACCTTATATGCTCCAATTGGCCATTTCTATCGTGACTGACCCGATATCAAGCAATGAACGTTCTTTCAGAACCCCAAATCAGTTTCATCCCCTCCATTAGTCGTGGTAATGAAACTTTCTCAATTAGTAGGTTACCACTGTTACTCTGGGATTTCGGTGTAAAATTTTTTAGAATCAAACAGAACCAAAATTACTCTGATCGTTCAAATGGGTCGTAGAAATGAACTATAGCAATCTGATCAATCTCTATGATCGGTTGCTTTTGTGTATACACAAAAGATGACGATCCATGATCCTAGTTGCTTTTGTGTATACACAAAAGCAACTAGGATCATGGATCGTCATCAACCTAATCCCAGCAGAATGTAGAATCGTTTGAATCAGATAAACAAGATTAAAGATGGCAACCACTATGGTTAAAGCCAAGCAATCAAGCTAATCGTTAACGGCAAAAAACTGTCTACAATAAAAAAATATTTAAAACTTATAAATGATAAGTAAAATCATTATTGTTAAACTATCCGATAAACTAAGATTAAAAAAATAGGTAGGACTATTAAGAGAGAGTTTTGAGAAATTGTACGAGAAGAATGCGTGGAGGAGACACGTTTATATTTCCACCTTGTCAGCAATTTCATTCACGGAGTAAATACGATTCCATCCTACCTAGATACTTTCCACCACTTAAAACGCAAGACAGAAACGATCTGTATCATGTACAAAGACTGATCCAATCTCGCAGATCGATCCACCTGAAATAAAAAGTATATGCACTCCTGAACAAAGAGAGAAAATATTAAATGCTGCTGCGAAGCCCATTTATCCTTTCTTGTAATGTGCAGAATTCCTTCTTGGCAGTGAAAGCCACTGGAAGACGACGCCCCACACTGAAGAGCGACAGCCGAAAAGATTTCCAGTACCGATATCGGTATCAATATTTTAAAATTTCGTGATAACGGTATCCATACTTTTGTAATGTCGAAATATTCCTATAACCAATTGCTACTTTGAAATGATTATGTAATTTATTACAGGCAAGAAGCTTCCAACTGTAATATTTATAGTTATTTAATTATAGTCGATCCCCTATAACGTGGGTTCCTATAACGGAAATTCCTATAACGTAGCGAAAAAATTGTAGCAATATTCGTATAAAGGAACTCCTAAAACGTCGTCGCCAACTCGTGTTGCGACAAGATTGATAGAATCTGGACCAATAGTGGATGAGCAGCTGAACTACTTTCCTCCGCCCTGCGCCACGCTACGGAGCAGCTCAAGTGCGTTTGCTATCGTCTGTA